TAACAGCAGACTGACTGCTCGTAAAATCTACGACAGGTCTGGACCACTCGTGAATTTTGTTCGTATCTGAAAAAAATAGTAGAATATTTCGTAGAATACGAAAACATTGGTGAATGCCACAAATTCTCCTAAATCACTCGTACGCACAACTTAAGAACAAATCTGTGCGTACGAACGGTTCTTGCATGAGGCCCATTGTATGTTGCATATAAGAAAAACCACGACGAGCAAAAGAAGACTTGGACGTTAGTTGCATGTTCATGTTCTCATAAATCCGTTTTGCTAATTTAACAATCGACTTCTGCTCTGGTCTGGGAGTGGGTTGTTTTTTCCAGCGTCACTATGAACCGGAAGCTCGCGCTGCTCAGGCTCGGCAGCTGTAGCTTGGCAGCAACAGACACGCCCACAAGTGTGTCCCCAAATAATGTTTCCCCACCAGAGGGCACACCGCAACAGCTGAAAAATATTGAAATCTGTCTGAAATTAGTGGTGACTTTATACATGAAGATTCTATTTTTAATGCTTTTTAAGCTATACTCAAGATTTTATTACACATGAATAAATACAGTATTATTTCTCCAAGCCGAGCATGGTCAAAGCGCTATCTGTAGCAGGTAAAATACTGACCGTTTATAATCTTTTCATCGAACACCACTTCAAAAATCCAAGCTTTTTTTAATCTAAAGAGCACACGTAAACGAAGTCACGATGTTATTTTTTTATATTTTGAGTCTTTACAGAAATAGACGCAATACAAATGTCTAACACTGTAAACTGCTGTAGTTCTCTCTGTTTTGTTCATACTTTTTCGTTGTCCTGACAAATAACACACAAAGGTCTGCATGAGTCACCACCATATTCTCTGCATCCCTCTAGAAAAACACTAACGCACACTCATGTTTGTGAGGACATCCACTGACACTGCAATCCTAATTTTGAAGCATCAGTGCCGAAACCCTGTTTTTTTATGTCGTAACCAACAAACATAAAGAAATGCAACAACCATTCAAGATTTCCTTTGATTTTGCTTTGTCCTCGTGTGATGATCTAAAGCTCTAACAAATTTCACACAAATGCAGAATACACATCTGCAGAAATACAGTTTCGTTTTGAAAACAAGTAGCATTAGCAATTAGCATTCAAATTCAACAACATAAACAGGTATTACATACAGTAGCAGCTTCACTGTAGATATTAACAAGGCTTTGTGTTACAGAGGGAATGTGCGTTTTTATCTACCCTGAAGCCAGGAGAAACAGATGATGTCAGATCCTGTTTATATTAAACAATATAAAACTAATCTTGTGTCTCCTGTGCAAAACTATTCTATGAAGAATTTTAGTCTAAATATAAATAAGTAATTATTTTTAAAACAATGCTATAAAAGCTAAATTTTCAGTTTTTATATTAGGACTGATGTAATATACAAGTACAACACTCATTTCTCTATTTGTCTTTGATTTATAGTCAAATTTACCAGTCTTAACAGGGTTTATTTTCTCTAAAGATTAAAAAAGTGAAAACTTCCTCTAGCTAGGTTTTAATAACATCACTGAGTTTAAAGGCAGATGGCTGTGTGATGGAAGCAACTGAACAAAAGGCTCCAAATGATTCACCACAGAAATAAATCCAGGAAAGTGCCTTTTGCTCAGTTAATCCTCAGTGCTTGGACAGGTGGCGTGTAGACAAATCGCAGATTTCTCTCTCTGTCTCTTCACATGAACTCAGGCACATTTGTGCAGCCCTGCATCGGTGTGTTTCCAACACAGACGTGCACTTTCTCATCCCCACTTCTGCAAGCTGTGACGAGAAAAGATTCACAGTAAATCACTCCTTTAAAATTTAATAAGCATGCGAATAAATCTAAGGGTGCATGAGATTACAAAAAGTTAACGGTGGTAACAGGAACTTGAGTTTTAAATGTTCAAATACAAAACAGAAATAACCACCCAAAAGAAAAGCAGACTTTTAAATTTTTATTGTAGCCAACGGGGCGTATAAAGAGTTAAAGCCACCTTATGGAGAAATTAAATGTTTTTGAAAACAGGACAGACTGCATTTTACACAGCAGGGCTCTGGAAGTCTTTACTTCTCATATACAGCGGGTAAATTAAGTATTGAACACGTCAACATTTTTCTCAGTAAATATATTACTAGAGGTGCTAATGACATGAAATTTTCACCAGATGTTGGTAACAACCCAATGATCCATACATACAAAGAAATCAAACCATAAATGTCCAGAAACAAAGTTATTTGTAATAATGTGGAATGGCACAGGGAAAAAGTATTGAACACACTTACTGAAATTTATCTAATACTTTGTACAAAAGCCTTTGTTGTCAATGACAGCTTCAAGACGCCTCCTGTATGGAGAAACTAGTGGCATGCATTGRTCAGGTGTGATTTTGGCCCATTCTTCCACACAAACAGTCTTCAAATCTTGAAGGTTTCGTGGACCTCTTCTATGAACTCTGATCTTTAGTTCTTTCCATAGATTTTCTGTTGGATTCAGGTCAGGTGATTGGCTGGGCCATTCCAGCAGCTTTAATTTCTTTCTCTGAAACCAACTGAGAGTTTCCTTGGCTTTGTGTTTGGGCTCATTGTCTTGCTGAAATGTCCAGCCACGTTTCATCTTCATCATCCTGGTAGATGGAAGCAGATTTTTATCAAGAATGTCTCTGTACATTTTTCCACTCATCCTTCCTTCAATTATTTGAAGTTTGCCAGTACCATATGCTGAAAAACAGCCCCACACCATGATGTTCCCACCTCCAAACTTCACTGTTGGTATGGTGTTTTTGGGCTGATGTGCAGTGCCATTTGACCTCCAAACATGATGTTTATTCTGGCATCCAAACAGTTCAATGTTGGTCTCATCTGACCAGACTATATTCTCCCAGTATTACACAGGCTTGTCTAAATGTTGTGCAGCAAACTTTAAAGGAGCTTCAACATGCTGTTTCTTCAGCAGTGGAGTCTTGCGTGGTGAGCGTGCATACAGGCCATGGTGGTTCAGTGCATTACTCATTGTTTTCTTTGAAACAATCGTACCTGCTAATTCCAGGTCTTTCTGAAGCTCTCCACAAGTGGTCCTTGGCTCTTGGACAACTCTTCTGATAATTCTTTTCACTCCTCTGTCAGAAATCTTGCGAGGAGCACCTGGTCGTGGTCGGTTTATGGTGAAATAATGTTCTTTCCACTTCTGAATTATGGCCCCAACAGTGCTCACTGGAACCTTCAGAAGTTTAGACATTCTTCTGTAACTGATGCCATCATTATGCTTTGCAACAATAAGGTTGTGAAGGTCTTGAGAGAGCTCTTTACTTTTACCCATCATCAGATGGTTCTTGTGTGATACCTGGCCATCATTTGGGACTGAACCAGCTGATATTAACTTGCACTGACAAGGGGCAGGCTTGTTTTCTAATTACTGAGAGAGTTCAGCTGGTGTCTTGGCTTTCCATGCCTTTTTACACCTCCCTTTCTTCATGTGTTCAATACTTTTTCCCTGTGCCATTCCACATTATTACAAATAACTTCATTTCTGGACATTTATGGTTTGATTTCTTTGTATGTATGGATCACTTGGGTTGTTACCGACATCTGGTGAAAATTTCACG